CTCTGCGATTCCTCAATCCAAGCCGCTATCCATTACTCCACCATGCATATATATATAAATATATATATATATATAGAGACCTATATATATATATATATATATATATGCCTCTCTCTCTCTCTCTCTCTCTCTCTATATATATATATATATATATATATATATATATATATATATATATATATATATATATATATATATATATATATATATATATATATATATATATATAATCACTCACTTATTTATCTATTTATCTATATATGTCAGTATATTCATTATCTGTCTACATGTTTGCCTGTCTTTCCATCTATCTATATATCTATTCATCTATCGTAATATGCTCATTATCTATCTCTCTAACTCAGTCTATTCATATCTATCTATCTCCCCACGCTTTTACACTCTCTCGCTCTCTCACTATTTCTCTCCACACACACACACACACACACATATATATATATATATATATATATCAATCATTTAATTATCTATTTATCTATATATGTCAGTATCTTCATTATCTGTTTATATGCATGTCTGTCTGTCTCTCTATCTATTTATATATCTATTTATCTATCCCAATGTGTTCATTATCTATCTATCTATCTATCTATCTATCTATCTATCTATCTATCTATCTATCTATCTATCTATCGACAGATAGAAGTATATATACACGCAAATATCTGTGTTCGTGCGCCAGTGTATACAAAGCTACTAACTGTTAAGCACACATTGATGCGTACATAGACGAAGATCAGGCAATAAATTAATATTATGCACGAGGACATGCAATGAAACAGACACGGACTCGGGCAGACGACATCATGAAAAATGAAGGGACAAAGATGGCGGCATCTGAACGAAGGACAAGACAAGCTAAAAAAACGGAGTTTGTAAGTAATGGCCCAATATGTCACAGGGACCCCTACGGAGAGTTCCTTTTGAAAAAGCGTCCTCGGAGTGTCGCAGATGTTGGGGGTGGCCCTGGAGCCCACATAGTTCCACAGTCTCTTCCTGTCTCTGAATAGCATGTCGGAGTGTAGACATCGTTAGAGGCGATTCACAGCGTTAGGACAAAGTACATCATTAGAATAATTTCATGTACGTACGAAGTTAAATGTGTCGGGGTACACAATCGTGAATGTGGCTAGCGAGAAAATGAAAGACGAAGAGAAAGAGAACGAGAAGGACAGACAGACCGACAGATAGGGATCAAGAGACAGACAACGTCATGCAAATAAAGTGAGAGAGACATAGACAGAGAGAGAGAGAAAGGGAGCGAGAGAGTGGGAGCTTGGGAGAGAGAGAGAGAGAGTGAGAGACATAGAGCGATAGAGAGAGGCAGATTGACAGACGTAGCAGACAAGCAGATATAGAGAGTGAAAGAAAGAGTGAGAGAGATGAACAATCAAACAGAGGAATACAGAGAGAGAGAGAGAGGGAGAATCAGATAAATAGAGAGAGGGTGGAGGTAAAGACGACGAGGTAGACAGAGAGACATAGACTGGCAAATGCAGAAACATAGATAAACAAAGAGATAGTGATAAGGGGAGGTAACACTACAGAGACCAAGAGACTTGACAGAGAGAGAAAGAGAGTCATGCAGAGAGTGGGAGAGAGAGAGAGAGACCCTGAAAGAGACACGCATCATGTCTTGGGAGACAGACAGATAGGCAATGTGAGAGAAACAGTAAGAGATAGAGTGATCAAGCTATAGAAACAGGACACAGAGAGAGAGAGAGAGAGAGAGAGAGGTTTATGGATAGAAAAAAAAATATATATATATATATATATATATATATATATATATATAATTTTTTCGCTGTCTTTTAAAAATAAATGCTAAAGAACTTCGGATCATCAATCTAACAGTTCTTTCCTATTTTACCTACATATTTGCATGTATTTTAAGACGTTTTTTTTTTATGTTTATACGTTCTTTTTACAGATACAAATTCTTAAGTAAATGTTCTGTTTATAATAAACAGTATTAACGACATTTACCAGCCTAAATGTCCGAGAAATTTTCATAGAAAATATGCGCCCTCCGACAGGAATCGAACCTGTATCCTATACGGAACAGTCATATAGCCTGACGTGCTTTTACCGATTAAGCCACAGAGGAGCGATTTTAACAGGGCCTATTTTATTGTTTTAAAACTACAATTCTCCATAATTTTCTCTCGTACATTCATATCTGCTCGATGCATATCTAAACGTAAACAAATGACGTCACACAGTATGAAATGGACAAAAGCCGATAATTATTTTAACTATTTTACTTAAATATTTGTATCTATAAAAAGAACGTATAAACATAAAAAAATGTCTTAAAATAATTGTAAGACTTGGACCATTTCTAATATATATATATATATATATATATATATATATATATATATATATATATATATAGAGAGAGAGAGATAGATAGATAGATAGATAGATAGATAGATAGATAGATAGATACTTTAAAAATCAGGAATCCTCTAACTTGATCTCAGCCTTACGGTTAGGTGATTTGTTAACCAATGACCTCTCAACACTTTATTTAAATAAAAAACTAATGAACGACGTATTATTTTTTTAAAGAAATACCGCACGACGTTGGATCTGATTACAATGGTACATGATGGTTCAGTTCTGACCATTAACAGTTTATGCAAAATATATATATATATATATATATATATATATATATATATATATATATAATATATATATAATTTTTTTAACAAGTTGATATGTTGACAAATCCTCTTTTAGGGTGAAATAGCTATTCAAATGGGTTCATTTTGAATTTCTTTCGGTATAATTTAAGTATGTATGTAGAATTAATACAAATAAAATTTGTCGCTTAGCTGATAGATGTTATATTCAGTACCTCAACTCTGCGTTTTTTCGGTCCAATCGTCAGGAGATTTCAACCATTGACTGTGAATTTTTCGTTGTCTTTATGCTAAGTTTGATGCAATTAATTACTGCGCTAATTGCGGTATTATCGGGTTTATAAACATTGTGTTACGTATATATATATATATATATGTGTGTGTGTGTGTGTATAAAGATCTATCTACTTATCTCACACTTTGTTCATATCTATCTATCTAGCAATCTATCTATCTAAATATCTACACCTTCTTTATCCATCTATTTATCTCATTCTGTTCTTATCTATCTATAATATAATTATTGTGTTATATATATATATATATATATATATATATATATATATATATATATATATATATATATAATGTCATCCAGCTCATCTATGTGGCTAGACTTTAGATTTTTCAAACCAGGATCGAAATCTCAAAAAACGTCAAAAAACGACATTATTATGTCATGGTTTTTGCACCAAATTTATATATATATATATATATATATATATATATATATATATATATATATATATATATATATATATATATATATATATATATATATAAAATGTGTGTGTGTGTGTGTTTATTTATGTATGTTATGTTCAGGGCCTGAATATAGCGTTCTAGCATGAAAACAGACTGTCGCTGCTTGATGTTGACCTCAATATTTATATATATATATATATATATATATATATATATATATATATATAAATTATATAATTTTATTTCCCAATTGTGTTTCACAATTGAACTGAGCGCCACTGAAAAGATTATTCAGTGGTGTCCGGTCTCGGAGAACAGCTGTTCGTAGCGTGACTTTGGTTGCAGGGATTGGACAATTTGGGGTCCTGGCCCACGTGCCCAGGCCTTAAACCGGCCTTGTGCCATATACCGCCACAGAGTATATGAGGGTGGCGCTCAAGTGTCGGGTAAATACCAAATAAAGCATCTATTCTTTCTCTCTTCCTGCAGTTCACGCCTAGTCTCACGGATTTCTACCACAGCGAGGAGAGAGGTAATTAGCGCATCAAACTGTAGTTGCTGTTTTCCCTTCCCGTTCAATTCAAGAGAGAAGCCAGGTCAAGGCAGCACATTCCTCGTTGCGCTGTAGAGTAGGGTCTGGTGCTTATGATCACCAGCGCGACAGTCGTGAGGCCTATGCAGTTTTTATTTGTTTTTTTTTTTACAGTGAGGTTCACTCTGTACAAGGCTCTGGAGCCACTTCAGGTAGAATGTTACAGAGCAAGCGGCAATGATAGGTGGAGAAGACTTCAACAGGTTAAGATTGAAATAGTCGTGAAAACATCCTCTAGAGAGTTAGCTTAAGTGAAACTTACATCTCAACGATGGAATACCGAGGTAATTAAAGTGGTTCTTAGCCCATATTTAAACGCATATGCACCCCCCATATTAAAAACGACTTCCAGTCACATCCTACACTCGAATGGTTGGTGCGTTAATATCGTCGGATTGGGATCAAAGCGTGGTATCTGTTCTCCTCTTTAAATTAAGTATAAGCCTGATCCCTGGGTTTCCAAACTTAATTATTGCTGTAAACAGATGGTTTGTCGATACCAAGACCAGCATGACAGTGATCGTGCGAATTGTCCTTTGTCCATATATATGATAACACACGTTAAACTTGTGCCGCATCTTGCTACCAAGGGGAGGCAGAGTATGATGTCTTTTCTCTACTCTCTCCTTCGATTCTGCATCCGGGCAGTTCCAAATTTTTGCATTGAGAGAAGCCTAGTACCAAGGAACCCAGTCTAGCGCCAACATCTTCATCATTACACCTAAGTGGGAGGGTTGCTTGATACTAGCGCCAGTGTGACAATGTTCGCGTGGACTGGGCAAATTTTGTCCTTGACTTATATATACACGTATGAGTAATCCACATTAAAAACACATCTTCTCCCTAGCTATGGGTTAATTAGTAAGACTTATATCGCTAAGCCATTATTATCTCTGCTTGATGTTAAGTATAAGTGTCCTTTTTGCTTCCATTTTGTCTCAAACTTCGTTGTTGCTCGCATATTCGATACACAGTATTCTCAGTATCCTTCTGTAGAACCACATTTCTGTTGTTTTACATCTCTTCTTGACTTACGGCCACATCACGTTGAAACACCGGTCCCCGTAGGCTCACCGAAGTTGAGCAACATCGAGCCTGGTCAGTACCTAGATGGGTGACTGTTTGAGAATATCAGGTACTGTACGCTTAGATGTGCGGTTGCTATAATTGATAATGGGTCGCAATCGTTAATCGGAGAATCGAGTTCCAATTCCCATTGGGTTCGTTATATTCACTTAGGCTCAAATACCCTTGGGAACGGTATGAATCAAACTCATCCCCCCAGCTATGAGTTAATTAGTAAGACTTGTATCACAAAGTCAGTATTACCTAAAAAAAATTCTTACGGTCTAAAAATATTTTCTGGCTTTAAATAAGCCGTAAAAAACGAATCAATCAATGACTGAAATACTGATTATCTACACAGAGATGTCTTTTAGATTTATTTACCTATTCTGGAATATAAATGGAGAGGAATTACCATGACCAAAAAATGAGGGATTGGTTTATGTATTAATTAATATATAGAATCGATCCCTCACTTTATATCCGGATTATAATTTCTTGCTTGTTATCCAATTCTGATTAGGTATGAATCCATCTATTCTTACCCCACCAATGGGTTAATTAGTAAGACTTGTATCACTAAAACATTATCTCAAAAGATTTCTTACAATCTAAAAATATTTCCTGGTTTTAAATAAGCCGTAGAAAACGAATCAATCAGTCAATGAAATGCTGATTAGCTAAACAGGCATGTCTTTTAGATTTATTTACATTCTCTGGAATATAAATGTATAGAAAATACAGTGGTCATAAAGTGAGGGATCAGTTTATATATTGATGTTATGTATAATTGATCCCCCACTTTATTTCCACATTATAATTTCTTGTTTGCTGATAAGCTGTAGAAAACGAATCAGTCAATGAAATACTGATTAGCTACACAGGCATGTCTTTTAGATTTATTTACATTCTCTGGAATATAAATGTATAGAAAATACAGTGGTCATAAAGTGAGGGATCAGTTTATATATTGATGTTAAATGCAATTGATCCCCAACTTTATTTCCACATTATAATTTCTTGTTTGCATTGATAAGCTGTAAAAAAACGAATGTTTTTTCAGTCAATGAAATACTGATTAGCTACACAGGCATGTCTTTTAGATTTATTTACATTCTCTGGAATATAAATGTATAGAAAATACAGTGGTCATAAAGTGAGGGATCAGTTTATATATTGATGTTATGTATAATTGATCCCCTACTTTATTTCCACATTATAATTTCTTGTTTGCTGATAAGAAAACGAATCAGTCAATGAAATACTGATTAGCTACACAGGCATGTCTTTTAGATTTATTTACATTCTCTGGAATATAAATGTATAGGGACTACCGTGGGTACAAAGTACGGGATTAATTTATGTATTCATTATTATATAGAACAGATCCCCCCTTTATGTCCGGATTATGATTTCATGTTTATCTAATTCTGATTATGTATGAATCCACCTCTTCTTCCCCCAGCAATGTGTTAATTAGTAAGACTTACATCACTAAAACATTATTATCTCAAAAAAATTATTACAATGGCAAAATATTTTTGGCTTTTAAAAACGGAAGACTAGTAAATATAATAAGAGTTCATACCCACTGGTTAGCGAGTTCATACCCACTGATCAGCGAGTTCATACCCACTGGTCAGCAAGTTCATACCCACTGGTCAGCAAGTTCATACCCACTGGTCAGCGAGTTCATACCCACTGGTCAGCGAGTTCATACCCAAAAATAAAGCGAGCAAAGATCCTTTATTGAATTACCTCTCTGTGGATTTCTGTTTTCAGGCAGTTTATGCAAAAAACTTCGAGGAATGCTTGCTCGCAGGGATTCAAAGGCAGCTTTATCACCTCCCTCATTGTTCTAAAGATGAAGAGTTAATTGAATACCAACACCAATTGTGGCTGTGTTCACGAAGACGGCTCGGGTCGATGTCATCCTCACGTTCAAAACGAACTTGCGTCGCATCTTGGGAGGCAAGTATATAGCTACACACCGCACCGGCCATCGGCTTTGATTACTGGATTTTAGCTGTTCGCCACCTACCTTTGTCTTCGGCCTGCCGATGGATAAATTTTGGGGGATGCCTGGTCGTGGGGATCTCAATCCTGCAACAGAAACTTGTTCATTGCACCAAAAATGGAAGTCTCTGCGTCAGTGGTCACAGTTTTTATCCTTGGAATGCATATACGCGTATGGGGACCCCACGTTAACCCGTCGCGTGCCACATCTTCACGGCGTAGATGTTACAAATTCATGACGGTCGTCTTCGAGTATAGAATCCAGAGGTTAGCAGTGAATATTTCGCAGACAGTAGGAAAGCGTAGTTCAGGTTCGCAGTGGATATCGTAGCAAAGTAGCAGAGCGTAGTTCTTCCTTTTGTCATTTTCGCCTGTCAAGTTGGCACTGGTCATTCCGGTAGGATAAACAAAGGTGGCCGCCTTTATACACGACGGATACAATGTTCTGCGGCTTCTGATTGGTTAACCTTCTATTGGTGTACTATAAAGAGAGTTAAGTCATTTTCACTAACTCACTAGTCATATAACATATATACACAAAAAACTGTAACAGTAGAGGGGGAGGTAAATGTAATCAGAAAGCAGTATCTGCTCTTTTCTTCCGTGTTTTTGCCTCAGAATAATTTTTTTCCTTCGAGAAATTTACGGAAGAGCAACGAGGAGAAATTAGTACAAGAGATTGCAACCCCACGACAGAACCTCCCCATTAATTTAATAAAGGAAGAAAGTTACCATACTTTGACATCTACGGGACAGTGATCACGGAGAATGGGCAATTTTTATTCTTTGACTCATAATGCGAGAAAAGAAACTGTTAGCATAGAACTTACGGTTGCATCAGGCTGCTTCTCTGATCACTACGATCTTAATCTCTTTACGTCTATACCAGCCATTATCCATCCTACATATCCTCATAACCTGCGCTTACTTCCACCTCTTACATCCATACAAGAGCATTTCTCACACTCTAGATTGAGTGGCTCTTGGGGTTTGTATTGGTTGAACATTGAGTAAAAAGAACAAAGAGCTTTAAAGCAATATTTTTGTTTCAAATTACTCATAGATGTTCGAGCTTTAATTTAAATGACACCTTTTTATTTTCTCTCCAAATAATAGAGAAATTTATGATATACAAGTTTATTTATTCCATAAAGTTATTTTTTATATATATATATATATATATATATATATATATATATATATATATATATATAGCAGTATTTTGATGATTGCATCAAATTTTTGAAACAACCTGTTGCCTCTTAAGTATTTTTGAATTTAATGTTCACTTTTATATATATATATATATATATATATATATATATATATATATATATATATATATAAATATATAAAAAAATAAAACTTATAATCTTCCATGTAACTCATTTTTATTCCATTAAAAGAGATAATACGATCCAATTCATCAGATGTAAAAATTAGGTCTGATGATTGAAATAGTTTATTCAATGGAATATAAAAAAGGGGACAAAATATTGTTTCCGCATTTTTAATTTATCATCCTTACTCTATCCTGGTTTTTTATTTTCTACCTGATGATTAAAATAACCTTGGAATTTTTTTTTAAAGTTCTATTGATTTTATTATATACCGAATATATATATATATATATATATATATATATGTATGTTTATATATATATGTATATATATTTATAATTTTAGATTCATATGAATTTACATATTTGTTGTATATTAAAAAAATATAATTATATATATATATATTCTTATATATATATATATATAAACATTTCACCTCAACACTGAAGCAATTGGGGAATCTAAAGCCACTAAGATAAAAAAGGTGTTAGTATATATGAAAAGATATTTAAAAAAAAAATATTATGAGGGCAGATTTAACAATAAAGGAATCTGGAAGACAGTAAAATTGATTGAATTAATTTAAATTTTAAAATTTTTCAGGTCTTTTTGGCTTCAATAAAGAAGCCGTTAGGAGCTTATTGTCCAATCATTAGAAGGGAGGGACAAATTTTGGCATCAAGCCAATTAATGAGACCTTGTGAATTAATCTAATATTAATCTTTAAATTCATAAACCATCTATAATACCACAATGGAATTCAAATCATCTGAACAATTATTTTGAACGTAATTGGATTTAAATAAGGATCCGAGATATTTTTTAGGACCAATAAATATTGCTGATTCTATTTAAAAAATAATTCAAAAACTCTAAATAAATAGGAGGAACACCGGATCATGGAATGTTGGTTTACTTCTTCAGATCTGCGCATATGTTCCAATTACTCCATTTTCTGCCAATTCTCATTTCTGCAAAATAAAAAATTGGCAGAGGGGGGGGGGCTTCTCTTTTACTTTCTTTTTCTTTTGGAACTTTTTTTTTTTTCAAATACCTTTAGTAATGAAATCGTATGTACGAGTCCCAACTTGAGGTCTGGATTGAAACGGGATAAAGTTACACTGATAGAAAAAAAAAAAACTCAAAGTTTTACTAGATATATTCGCCCATTCATGAAAAAAACATTTTCCTATGGATATTTGTACTTGTAGTAGGCATTCTTTCTATTCGTACGTTCTAAAGATGTTATTCGTTACTTAATTTTAATCTAGCCTGGTTCTATTCTAGTTAAGTAACTGGGTTTAGTAAAAAATATATGAATAAATTTTCTTTAACTATTTTAACACACAAACACACACAGGTTGTATATATAAATATATGTATATATATATATGTTACAAACATTCACAAACTTTATCGTACATTACATACATGCATATATATATATATATATATATATATATATATATCTATATATGTATATATAAACCCTTTGAAATTTGAATTTATTGGGAGGCCTTTTTTTTTTACCTTCAACGTCCTATGTACGTAAAAATTATAAGAATTTAGAAAAATAATAAAATTATTTTATCTTTATTCAACACCTTAATTCGGAATAATCTTTCTTCGTATACGCAATGAACTTCCATAGTTTGTTTACATTTATTTTGCGCGCCATTTCAATTTTCTTTTTAAAATCACCATTCTTTCTGATTTTTCAATG